TTTTTTTCTTTTAAAAACATAACCCTTTATTATGCTCCCTAAATAATAAAAAATAAATTACAGTGAAAGCAATGAAGATTTTATAGGTTTTGAACTAAACTAAATAACAGTAAGCCTTTTTTTGATTTACGGTATTTTCTTATTTTGATGTTTTGAGCTCTTTTGTGTTTAGAACAATGTATACTAATTTTTAAAGTATCAAATTGAATTTTTGTTCAATAAAAATCTTTCAAATGCGAATGTAGCTTTTTTTTAAAAATAAGGGTTGGTCTTATAAAAAAATACAGTAATAAACTATTCCATAAGTTTTGATGTTGAGTAGAACTGATGGTTATTAGAATTTTGTAATTTATTAATTGTCGGGCTTATTAATTAATTACATTCAACTAATTGGTTATCCTCATGTGAAACCTGGATAGTTGGAATAATCATAAAATAGTAATAATCGGAAACACTTAATTTTGATTAGTTAATTATTTTCATAAATTATAACACTAATTCATTAACCTGAACAACTGTGAATAAATATAAAATAACAATGAGAAATCATAATAGCAATATTTTGATTACTTGTACAGTTGGAATAATCAAAAACAAGAATAATTTGAAACACTAATTTTGATTAGTTGATTATTTTATGTAACACTAATTGATGTAATCTATGATATTGATTGATTAATCAAGTTAATTGCTCAGCTCTAACATTGTGAAGTATCATGTTATGCACTTGGGATATAGACATTTTGAAAGGACTTGCTTTATCTGTCAGAAGAGAATTAGTGTTGTGAATGAAGAAAAAGACTTAGGTACTTATTATAAAATCCGAAGTCCTATTCTGAATGTTTAGCTTTAAAGTTGAAATTTGATTTTAAAATTATCAGTATGTATTTCGGAAAAGTTTCTTTGTCTCACTAGTTTGTTGGAGTATTCTATTTTTTAGTATTTCATATCCAAGGGATAACATGGAGCCATTTAGCATATCTAGGCAAACAGTCAAATGGAAATAAAAAATAAAACATTTCAACAAATTAGTGAGAAAAAAAAACAATTTCTACTACCACTCTACTCCAAAATATTGTAGTTGAGGAATTATTCAAATAAGATTTATCTGATGATGTGTCAGGTACAGTTAGTACATGTACAATATGTATTACTTTAAAAGTTTCTAAAATGTATATATTGATGTGTAAGACTATACATTATATATGTAGTTAAGCTGGATTATAAAGGCAGAATGGCAGTTTGTTGCCTTGCCTTTTCTTATCTATGTACATTCACACATATATATGTAATAGTCAGTCACCTTAAAAATACATGTATTCATAAAACTCTTAAGGTAGTTTAAGTATGTAAACTTGGATGATTTATTGATTTTATGGGTGAGGAGTAAGTGACCTGATGGATGAGCTTGATGGCTTTTTGTCACCTTGCTTTTTTGTATGTTCAACAGTAAAGTATTTTGCAAAATCAAAAAAAAATCCTTTCCACTTTTAAGGAAATGAATTATATTGGGAATATCTTACTCTCCTTCCTCGGGAAAAGTAGTAGGAAGGAAATTTAGCACTTAAGCCATACAGGTTTTTCCATTCTCCATAACAATTCTCCCATTAAAACCCCTTAAATGACCAGTATTACTCCCACAGTTTATCTGAATATTATCTCAGGTGATGTACGTTTATAGGGCAACAGATCAC